TAGGATTCCTATAGGTTCAAATATTAGAATCTTATAGGAATCATATATGTTTATTATTAAAAACTTATAGGAATACTATAGGTTTATTATTAGAATCGTATAGGAATCATATAGGTATATTATTAGAATCGTATAGGATTCCTATAGGTTCAAATATTAGAATCTTATAGGAATCATATATGTTTATTATTAAAAACTTATAGGAATACTATAGGTTTATTATTAGAATCGTATAGGAATCATATAGGTATATTATTAGAATCGTATAGGATTCCTATAGGTTCAAATATTAGAATCTTATAGGAATCATATATGTTTATTATTAAAAACTTATAGGAATACTATAGGTTTATTATTAGAATCGTATAGGAATCATATAGGTATATTATTAGAATCGTATAGGATTCCTATAGGTTCAAATATTAGAATCTTATAGGAATCATATATGTTTATTATTAAAAACTTATAGGAATACTATAGGTTTATTATTAGAATCGTATAGGAATCATATAGGTATATTATTAGAATCGTATAGGATTCCTATAGGTTCAAATATTAGAATCTTATAGGAATCATATATGTTTATTATTAAAAACTTATAGGAATACTATAGGTTTATTATTAGAATCGTATAGGAATCATATAGGTATATTATTAGAATCGTATAGGATTCCTATAGGTTCAAATATTAGAATCTTTTAGGAACCCTACAGGTTTATTATTAGAATTTTATAGGAATGCTATAGGTTTATTATTAAAATCTTATAGGAATCCTATAGATATATTATTAGACTCTTATAGGAATTCTAAAGGTTTATTATTAAAATCTTATAGGAATCCTATAGAGGTATTAATAAAATCTTATAGGAATCCTATTGGTTTATTATAAGAATCTTATAAAAATCCTATAGGTATATTATTGAAATCTTATAGAAATCCGATAGGTATATTGTTAGAATCTTATAGGAATCCTATATGGATATTATTAGAATCTTATAGGAATCCTATTGGTATATCATTCGAATCTTATAGGAATCCTATATATTTATTATTAAAATCCTATAGGAATCCTATAGGTTTATTATCAAAATTTTATAGGAATGCTATAGGTTTATTATTAAAATCTTATAGGAATAATATAGATTAGACTCTTATAGGAATCCTAAAGGTTTATTATTAAAATTTTATAGGAATCCTATAAGATGTATTAATAAAATCTTATAGGAATCTATTGGTTTATTATTAGAATCTTATAAGAATCATATAGGTATATTATTGAAATCTTATAGAAATCCTATAGGTATATTGTTAGAATCTTATAGGAATCTTATAGGTATAATATTAGAATCTTATAGGAATCTATTGGTATATCATTCAAATCTTATAGGAATCCTATAGGTTTATTAATTTAATCTTATAGGAATCCTATAGGTTTATTATCAAAATGTTATAGGAATGCTATAGGGTTATTATTAAAATCTTATAGGACTCCTATAGATATATTATTAGAATCTTATAGGAATCTTATAGGTATATTATTAGAATTTAATAGAATCCTATTGGTATATCATTAGAATCTTATAGGAATCCTATAGGTTTACTATTAAAATCTTATAGGAATCCTATAGGTTTAGTATTAAAAATTAATAGGAATGCTATAGGTTTATTATTAAAATATTATAGGAATCCTATAGATATATTATTAGACTCTTATAGGAATCCTAAAGGTTTATTAATAAAGTCTTATAGGAATCCTATAGATGTATTAATAAAATCTTATAGGAATACTATTGGTTTATTATTAGAATCTTATAAGAATCCTATAGGTATATCATTGAAATCTTATAGAAATCCTATAGGTATATTATTAGAATCTTCTAGGAATCCTATAGGTATATTATTAGACTAAACAAAGAATTTTATGGGTTTATGATAATCTTATACAATTCTTATAGGTTTATTATGATAATCTTATGGGAATCCTATAGGTATTATTATAAATCTTATAGGAACCTTTAGGTTTATTATTAGAATGTTATATGAATCGTGTTTCCGTAGTATTATTAGAAGCAGACTTAGAAACAAAAATTAAGAATTTAAAAATTAATTTAGCCCTAGTTTGCTTTGCTTCCAGGGATTCTTTCCCTTCCCCTGGAACATCGAAGTGTTCTGGACAGCCCACGTGGCCCTGTCATCTTTTGCTTCTGTTACAGGGGTGGCATCAGTGGAGACGGGGGAGGGGGGTGTTTGGACTCTTTGATAAAAAAATACATATGTGGGCCATGGAGTTATAATTATTAAATTTTATAGCTCCATGTGTGGGCCTACTTTTGACATTATTTCTAATTGTTCTGCTGAAATAATTAAGAAAAATAAATTTATATTATGAAAATCCTGGCAGTATAATTAACAATACATAGCCAAAGTCTAGGACTATACTAAAATAATATAACATAATAAAACCTAAGCCTTTGAAACCTCTAAATTGTCATATTTTTGGGAGATTTTCCCTGTTCTGCTGAAATAATTAAGAAAAATAAATTTATATTATGAAAATCCTGGCAGTATAATTAACAATACATAGCCAAAGTCTAGGACTATACTGAAATAATATAACATAATAAAACATACAACTTTAAAACACAAGCTAACAATAACAGATGTTGTCATTTAAGCTGTTCAGCCAACCACGGATAATCTCAAATCACCAATGTGATTGGTCACTTTATCCATGTTTATCACTGAAGGCCATGGAAATTAACAAAGGTGCTTTTTTGAATGTTATCAGTTAACTGAAATTTGTTAGTGGATTAGATCTCTTTCTCAGTGCACATTCATGATGATAAAACTGCAGGCATAACCATACATTGTGAAGTATTTCAGCAGTACCAATAGGTAAGAATTGTTTTTATATTAATATTCATTTAATGTTGTTTAAATTGGCGCATTTAGGCTTAGTATAATGCGTCTTTTAAGTCAAAAATTGAATTGGTTTGGATTGGATCTCTGCATAGGATTAGGAGCCTAGGCCTAGGGAATAACAAGCATGCTATGATTCTCCGAGTCTAGCCTAGGCCTGTTAATAAGAAAAGACAGAACTGAGGATATGCCAAAGAGGGCTAGGCTTGGCCTGCCCTATAATGGAAGTATTGGAGCGTGGTAAATTGGGCTGTGTTCTCACTTATTTATTATTGTAAAAAAAAGTCCATGATATGATTATTTTAATGATTTTTATAGAGGTAGGCATAGGCCTCTATACTCTATAGGCTAGGCCTATGCTACTGGTATTATTATCATTATTACCAACAACTCCCTCGTATTTACAACAATTTGCATTGATCTGTTAAATGCTTCTAATTTATGTGAACAAATTAAGATTTCTTTCTGGT